AGAATCAAAATAATTACCGTCATGAAGAACAAAATGATGGCAAAGGTAAAGGGTTTTATGATCTTTGAACCCTTTTTTGCCCAATCGGGTCGCTTGTGCCTGGAAAAGAGAAGTGATTTTTTTTGTATATATATATATATATATATATATATATATATATATATATATATATTATATATATATATTATGTGTGTGTGTGTGTGTGTGTGTGTGTGTGTGTGTGTGTGTGTGTAGATGGTAAATATAAAACAGAGGGATAGATAAATATATAGATATAGATAGACAGACAGAAAGATAGATGTGGATAAATGGATAGATACAGACATATATATACATACATATGTATATGTATTATATAATATATATATATATATATATATATATATATATATATATATATACATATGTATATATATATGTATATATATACATTATATATATATGCATGTATGTATGTATGCATGTCTGTATGTATATGTACATATATATGTATGTATATATATGTATGTATATATATATATATATATATATGTATGTATATATGCACACACACACACACACACACACACACACACACACACACACACACATATATATATATATATATATATATATATATATATATATATATATATAGTGGTGTGTGTGTGTGTGTGTGTGTGTGTGTGTGTGTGTGTGTGTGTGTGTGTGTGTACATACATAATACATATAATATACATATATACATACGCATACACACACACACACACACACACACACACACACACACACACACACACACACACACACACTCACACACACAGATATATATAGATAATAGATAGATAGATAGTAGATAGATAGATAGATAGATAGATAGATAGATAGATAGATAGATAGAGATAGATAGATAGATTATAGATAGATAGAGATAGATAGATAGATATATATAATATATAATATATATATATATATATATATATATATACATATGTGTGTGTGTAAAGATTAATTGAGATAGAGAAGAAGGAAAAGATCGACAGTGCTATTAAATTCCAAAGATAAGATAACATGAAGGCTATTATTTGGTTAAGGATCCTGGAGACAACAAAAGATGACTTCATCTTTTCCGTTCATTTTCTTAGAGTTTAAATGGCCATGTCATTGTCACTATTCCTACAGCTTTTATCATCATCATCGTTATTTTTCCCATTTCACTGATATCGTCATTGTTACTGTTGTTGTAATTGTCATTATTATTATCATTAATATTATTTGTATTATCATTATTACCGTTGTTATTATTATCATCATCATTACTATTATCATTTTCAATACTGTCATTATCATTATTATCATTAATATCATTATCTCTATCATTATTATCGTAAATGAACACCCAAATAAGTAAACAAACAAACAAATCAATAAAATTAAACGACATCTACTAAGAGAAATCACAAGACCACCAACGCCACAAGACACAACCCTGAAATTCCGGCTCACTTAATGATCATTCCAACGACCACAGGGACAGTGAGCGACACGAGGGACCCAGCTAAATTGCCAAAAGGGATTTTCAGGTTATTGTTCTGACTGAGGAGTTGCTGGCCAAGGGTGAACATCCACAGGGGCATCATACCTGTGGAGAGATAATTAGCATATGGATTATTGGTGATTATTGGGGGGGGGGTATTTATTATTTTTTTGTGTGCTTCGTTTGTCTGGTTCATTTGTTTGTTTTTCATCATTTTCACAAAATTGTTTGCATTTCTAAAAAAGTATTGTATCTGTTCACTGCAATTTTATTGTCATCATTATTATTATATTTATTGTTATCATCATTCATTATCACCTTCATTGTTGGTAACACTTAATCATTATTAGTAGTATTGTTTGTTATTACTATTTTTTTTTTTTTGTATTATTGTTATTTGTCATATTGTTATTATTATCATCAGCATCATCATCACTATTATTATCATCTTTAGCCTGATTAATATCAGTATCCTTATCATGGTTATACCTATCTTCAACAACATGATTATCATCATCCTTAGTATCATGAGAATAATAATTACTGAAATCTCTTTCACTATTATCATTACAGTTGCATAGATATTGTTTTTAAGGCTTATAATGTATTTTTTTTATCAGTATCATCAATAATACTATTATTGATATAATTATCGTTATCATCATTATCAACATTATTGTTGTCATCATTATTATTATTATCGTCATCATCATTATTATTATATTCATGACAAGATTGATAATGATAATAATAATCACCATTATTATTTTTATCATTACTATTATTACCACTGTTATTATTATCATTACTATCTGACCATCATTACAATCACCCTCCTTCTCTTTATTATTATTTTAATTTTTACCGTAATAATAATGATAATTATCATTAGTAGTGCTATCAGTAGTATAGTAGTATCAGTATCAACATCAATATCATCATAATCATTATTCAGATTATCAATAACAGTATCATTACCATATCATTATTTTCATTATTATCAATAGCACCGCCATAATTCACCATAACCAACGGCATAATAAAATAAACACTGTCCAATGTTTTGAATTGGGCTGAATCCTCACCCATGGCTGCCATAGTGGAGACAGCTGTCATGGTGATAGAGAGGTTGATGTCACCATTAAACATCAGCGTCCAGAAATTTGACATCGTGCCCCCTGGACAGCAGCCGAGGGTGAAGAGCCCCAGGCGGTCCAGAGGGTTGGTGAAGAATGCCCAGCCGAGGAAGAAACTCACCTGAAAGAGGAAGGTCGCGAATGTAGGGTACTCTGATGAGTGAAATAAGGGTGCTGGGTAATTATTCATACGTGCGTGTGTGTGAGATTGCGTGTTTATGACTGTGTTTTTGTTTGTGCGTTGAGAGTGTGTGTGTGGGTGCGTGTTAGAGCGTGTGTTTGTGTGTGAGTGTGAGTGGGTAGGTGGGTATTAGAGTTTGTGTGCGATTGTTTGCTTGTGAGTGGGCGTGTGTTTATTTGCTAGTGTGTGTGTATGTGCTTAGGTGTTACAGATAGAGTGTGTGCTTAGGTGTTACAGAGAGAGAGAGAGAGAGAGAGTGTGGTGTGTGTGTGTGTGTGTGCTTAGGTGTTACAGAGAGAGAGAGAGCGAGAGACTTTTTTTTTTTTTTTTTTTTTTTTTTTTACTTTGACACGTTTATCGAGACAAAAGTAAAATTACATCTCAAAAAGATGAGGTAGCTTAGGCTATCCTCACCCTTACTTAATAAGTCCCTGTGCGGGCTCACAATTCATATACAAAGCTTAGGTATAATAAGTCCCCTCCTGGGCTTACATAATCAAGTACAGCGCACAAAAAATATGCGCGCGCAATATATATAGTTATAATCCCGGAGAAGAGATGTCAGTTGTTGAGTGGAATGATTATATTTCAGGAGAATGATGCCTAACATACGCCATTCATCAACAGTAAAGTAGGAGACATTATAGTCTCAGCAGGAGTAACAGTTTACATACCATATCTCGAATACCTGACCGTTCCTAATCATCTGTGTGTGTTAAAGTGTTTCAGAGAGAGAGAGATAATGTGTGTGTGTTTGTTTAGGTGTTACATAGAGAGAGAGATGTCTATACATAAATATAGAAAGATGGATAGATATTTATGTGCGTATTTATACGTGTATCCATATACACATAAATAAACATATGCATGTGTAGATATATGCGTGTGTGTGTATATATATACATACATACACTCATATGTTTGTGTATATATATTGTCTATGTGTATGTGTGTGTATATATATTGTGTATGTGTATGTGTGTGTGTTATATATATATATATATATATATATATATTATATATATATATATATATATATGTTGTGTGTTATTGTGTGTGTGTGTCTGTGCGTATATATATATATATATATATATATATATATATATATATATATATATATATATATATATATATATATATATATATATATATATATATATATTATATATATATATATATATATATATTATATATATGTATATATATGTACATATGTATATATATATATATATATAATATATATATAATATATATATATATATATATATATATATATATATATATATATATATATATATATATATATATATATAATATATATATGTAGTATATATGAGTGCATGCAAGTTCACCATGTATGTATGTATACATGTACCTGTGTGTGTGTGTGCATATATATATATATATATATATATATATATATATATATATATATATATATATATATATATATGCATGTATGGAAGTGAGTATATATATGTATGTGTATGTACATACATATATTCATATACATATTACGTATACGTACATGTATGTACACATAATCTATATACACCTTTTTTTTTTTCTTCCTTTCTTAAGCAAGGCAGCTGCACACTCACCACGGGCATGCACACGAACTGCGAGAGGAAACCGCAGACGGGGCCGAGTGGTCTTTTGAGAACGCCGATGATCACCTCAAGATCGAGCTGAGCGCCCATGTTCACGTTGTTGAACAGCATGAACACGGAGCCGACCGCTATGAACACGTAGTCCAAGATGAGCGCTTTGCGGTCGACGATAATCTAGAATGTTTATAAAAGGATTAGTTGTAATCGTGATTATGATAATAGTAGTGAAGATTATGATAATGATGGTAATTAAGATAATGATAATTATAATAATAGTAATAAGTTATAATGATAGTAATAACGGTGAAAATAACTGAAAACAAAAATAACAATAACAGCAATAATAATTGTAATAATGATAATAATAGAAATGATAACGACACTAATACAATGATAATGATAATAATGCAATGATAATGAGAGCAATAATAATCATAGTTATAATCATGGTGATGATGATAATGATAGTGATGATAATAATAACAATAATAATATGATAATGATAATAATAATAATAGCAAAAATAAAGATAATAATCATAACAATGCTGATAATGATAATGATAATGATGATAACAATGATAATTTTAGTGAAAAAATAACAATTATAAAAATAGTAATATTAATGGTCGAAATATTGATAATGATAACGATGGTAATGATAATGTTAATGATAACAATATCAAAAATGATAATAAAGATAAAACTAATGATAATGATAATAACAGTAATAGTAACAACGATGATGTGATGATAATGGTGATCATATTAATGGTGATGATAATAATGATAATCGTGATAATGTTAATGATCACGAAAATACGATAATGATGATACTAATCATAGTAGAATTAGTACTACTACTACTAGCAATGATGATAGTAATGATTATAATAATGATAATGATAATAATACCAATAGTGAGGATAACAATGATATATAATAATATGATAACAATAATGTATGATAATGTAATAACAATAATATAATAATGGACAATTAAAATAATAATCATAACTGATGATGTTGAGACTAGTCACAACAGCAACAACAATGAAGATAATCATAACAATTTTGATGATGACATTAAGAATAACATTTGTCACAGCCAGCATCATCACTATTTCTATAATTCCCACGATTATAATAGAAATGACAGTGTAGAAAGTGCTGATTATCCATAGTCATCAGTAAGAATCTACTTAGACCTCGGGAATGTCTCGATAACTGAACCGACTCTCTCTTGACCGTTCGGAGTGTGGCCTTGAAAAAAACAATTATTTGATATTGACAAGCCATTTACCCGAGTAAAAAAAGATATACATACCTAACATATTAGAATATGAAAAAAAAGGCATATCAATATTAAATTGAAGATATACTGTCTTTTATAATGTTTGACCATATTTATGAATTATGTCCACATCTGGCGGTTAAAAGCTGTTATTCCTACCCTTTATTACAGTATTCGAAATTCACAAGCACTTACCCATAAATCAAGCCTGTCTTATAACAAACATATTACACTGAATATGAGTAATTACGTCAGCCCATATGAAGTAATTTTTTCCTTTAGAAGATACATTTCTTTGTTAAAAACTACGTTGAATATCCATAGCGATAAGGCATACTAATTGAACCCACTAAAACTGCCTTGATCAGTGTTCCCAAGATTTTTTTGACCATGTTACCTTCTTACGTCTTTACATATTTGAAAAGACAATGCAAAATATATATCTATATAGGGCTTAAGGTCATGGGAGTATATATGTATATATAGTCAGATTAAGTAGATATAAATAATATAGATATAGATAACTATATATATATGAGTGGGCGCGCGCGCGCGCGCGCGCGCCGTGTGTGTGTGTGTATGTGTACGTGTGCTTTCATTGTCCTTCAAAGTATCCCTATGAGTACGTGGACCCAGTCTTGGACAACAGCGATGTAAACCAGTAGTTCTTAACCTTGGGACGCGTATCCCCAGGGGGCCGTTAGTAATATTCAAATTTAATATTATTCTCTTGACGAGAACATGGGCAAATAATGAAAAGATTGATAATAGTGTGTATAATTCATAATGATTAAAAAGACTAAGAACATCATTTTCTTTCAAATCTGTGTGGGAATTTTCATTCATGGATGCAAGGGGGCGTGGGGGAAAGGCCAAATTCCTGGAGGAGGCGTGGCGTTGATAAAGTCGAGAACCACTGCTCTCTACGCTACTCGTCTCTCTGCATGAAAATGTGAGGTTGGCCTCCGACCTTTCTAAAGGAATAGTAGTGCTTAAGCAATGTCCTCTGGCTCATTCAAAACAATATAATTCTTTGTAATAAGTATTTCTTAGTTCATTTATTTCTAACAACATACTCACATACAGATCATCGCGCAGTAGTGTCCCATTCGAAGGCTTCAGGTCGAGGTCGTCGTGAAAGAGAGAGAGCGAAAGGCGAGTGCGACCCCAGTAATACCCTGAGAAAGTCACGCTCTTATTTTCCTCCCTAAGAACTTCATCTAAGGAAAACTCGAGATATCTGCTGACGAAATCGAGCTTCCAGTCCTCGTCGGGCGTCACCACGACCTGCAGCTGCGTCGCCGTCGGGTCCAACGAGGCATCGAAGACGTCGCTCGAGTTAAGCCTCAAAGATAAGGTTAGGTTGTAGTCCGTGTCTTCGACGACCTTCCAGGTTGTGGGTGTGAAGGTCTCTACATACAGACTGGCACTCGGTTGGAATGTTATTAGGACCAATGAACACAAAAACCAACGCATTGTATTAGTGGGCACGAGGCGAGAGTACGCACAGCAAAATAAATCTCACACAGCAAAATAATCACTCTGTCACTTATTCATTCCGACGCTGATCATCTGTCCTGTTCACACTGCCCGCTCGATGTCTCCATTCGTCCCTTACTCTAACGTCTCTCCTGAGGCGTGCGAGCTCCCGAAGCCCCTGTTCACCAACTATGCTCAGGCGGCCGTTTCTATATCGCTGTCCTCTGATCGGCCTCGGCTGACCGATAAAAAGATATAAACTGATTGCTTAAGAGATGTCTCCGTGCACGTGTTCGCTATATCTCGATTACAAGCTACACATTGCTGTTTTATATAAAATGAGGTACCGTACTTCATTGCATTAGGGAAAATTGATAATTAATTTGATCTCTTTAACATTCTTATCTAAGTGATAAGCTGCTGTTTCTAATTATCTGAGCTACTTATAGTTCTTTTTTCTTATAATCCCCGACTGTACTGATTCAAGCTTATCACCAATAATATTCTGACAGTTAAGACAATTTTTATCAATCTAAATGCGAAGAGAAATAATTGATCCCCTCTTGGTCTCTCAGTAAATATAAAACACATTACGACATTCATCGCTTCTAAGGAAAGAAATTCATACATATAACAGAGAAGTCTTGCGTTTAGCCAACTGGTTACCCGTAATAGCAGCGAGTGTAGTACTACTGTTAATCTTATCAGCCCTAAGTGCATGGTAGGATTGCGTTAGAGATTTCCACAGTGCCACGGGTAATGGTACGCAGTTGTAAGTAAACCTAACGTTATGGAAATAAATACTGCGGTCTACGTTGCGTAACAGATCAGGAGAAGCTGAAAACGTTAAAAGTTAATGGTTTGAAAAGACCCAAAGCTAAAAAAAATATATCCATGGAAATAATAGTAATAATGGAGAGGAGGACGATAGCAGTGATGATGAAAATGATAATGATGATAATTAAACTAATATTAATTATAAAAACGATGATAATAGCAATACCAACAAAACCAATGATAAGGATAATGGTTTCAATAAAAGCAATATTAAAGATAATACTAATGGTAAAATGATGATGACGATGACGATGATTTATATACATATAATGTGTATAAAGAATAAACATGACAAAGAAAAAAAGAGAAACAAAGAACTATACCTACAAACGCGTAAACATTCATGGGGAAAATAACATAAAAGTGTGAATAACATAAAAGTGTGGTTCTCAAATAGCCCGAGAAAAATTTTACTCTTCAGTAACACTCCCCGGGAATTCAGGTTTGGAGTAGTCATAGCCCCCCCCCCCCCCCCAATCTGTCATCTCCTGTCACTCTTCGCTCGTCTCTATTATTCAGCCGCTCACCAGAAGCGAAAAGCCCGCAAAGAAGATAAACAACGTAATTACTTACGAGTGATAAACCCGTCAGTAAGGCCTTTACCAGAGGGGATAGATTCAACATAATGCTGATTGTAAACCACACCAAGAATCTGTATTTCTATTGGATTCAGTTTCAAGGGATCGAGATTTAGTCATTTGGGTTTGTGGTAATAGAGCGGTTGTATCACAAGTCACCTCATTCGCCCGTTACCTGACATCTTCATTTGTTTTTATGATACGTATATCTCAGTTAACAGCCTCGGATCATGCCAAAGAAATACGGGACATTGTTTATTAAATAAAGTCATTATCACGTTCCTATTTCAAAATCACTAATACTCTTTATAGAAAGATAGTATACATTATTGTTTTATGCTTTTTTTTTTTTTTTTTTTTTTTTTTTGCTTTCGGACTTGCGTAACAACGGATAAACCTCATTATGAAACATCCTGTGCTGATTTTACTTCATTTTACTAGAGAGTATAAATATCGCATTAGGGCTAACCGTAAACCCGGGCACGTAAGTTGTCTGAAATGATTGATGGTCAATTAGTTCTGACAAGACGGCCATTTTCTTTCAGGTTATTTATAATACCATTTCCCATTTTCTGATTTGTATTGGTTTGAGTCGAGCTTCGTGAAACTTTGGATTTGTTTGGTTGTGAGATAGAATGAGTTTATTTGTATGTAATCAGAAGGATATTATGAGGTCTTATGTATAAAGAGTACGTCAAAAGCATGCATATAATGAGGAAGTGTATTCGGCGGGTGTGTACACAGGTAGTTTCCTCAACTGTTCGTCAAGGGAGAGAAATCGACCAATCACTGTGCGTCTAGACTCGAGGGGACAATAGTTACCTCAGCTAATGTTGCGAGAAATGGACTGGGACAAACATGTAAAAGAAAAAAGGACAATCAGTTGAAAGCCATTAATTTATTTAATGTGTAGTATTACTTTTAATTTCAGCCAAACATTGCGGCAGCGTTGAATAAAATGGAAAAAAAGTAACTGACTACTGTGCAGGTTATGTTGTTCACACACACCACTATTTGCTTCGCACCTTCCAAATGCATTTCTCATTTCCTGAAAAAAAGAATCTGTTTTTAATCCACTGTTCTTCATATGGAGAGTAAAGGTATGTTCTTGAAGTTTTGCCTCACCTTATCCACCGTGAGCGAGCTAATATTTGTTCACATACAGTCCCAATCGTAGACAAATGGCTTGTTCCTATGATCACAGGCAGTAACCTGTCTTTCTAACAATTATTCCTATAATCACATGCATTAACCTGTCTTTGTGCCTGTGATATATCGATAGATCGAGACACGCAGCCCTGCTCTTGATACTTTTGAACCTATAAGATCGTATCCTAGAGGTACAGAATGATTTTGAAAATATTTATTCC